ATAAATAGTACGTAATTGATTGAAAATATGAAAATTTATATATATTTTTTTATTTTCAAAATAAATTTTAGATCAAAGAAATTTGGGAATGTCCATGAGAGTCGAAAGATCCTCATTGGATCAAGTTAAAAAGAGATTCGAAATGAACAGGAAAAAGTTAGACGAGAAGAAAAAAGAATACGACTTTGAACAACGAATGCAAGAATTAAGAGACGAGGTACCGATAAAAAAATTTTATGGTAGAAATATTAATAATTTAGGAATTTTATAGAATAATATGAATTATACTTCAGAATTCTCAATTTGACAATTTCTGTATTTGTTGACATCCATTGCCTAAGTTTCAATGATAATCACACAATTAATTTGGATTAATTCATAATTAATAAATATTTTAGACCAGCATTTCACAACCTAGATGTGCATACTCTTGAGGGCGCGCACAATTCTCCCAGGAGTATCAATTTACGTCGAGGCAAATCAAAATTTTATAGACTCCAAGTCTTTAAAAGCTACTAACATTAAATTTTTTTTAACAGACTACAATATTTTGTACACTTCTGAAAGTTTGGTTAATTTAATTCAATCTTGTCTGTCGACTAACTTTACAGCCATATTATGAAAATAAATGGCATAATACTTTAAACTGAAAATTAAGAATTAAAAATCGAAAAACAGTTTTTTAGGAAGTGAATATTTATCATTGGAAGATAAAATATTTCTCACGAGCCAGTCACATCGCAGCGACCGTGCTTCGAGGTTCCAGGTACAAATTGGTGAATGCAGCTCGTTACACGGACTACTCTCTTCCACAGGATTATCCCAGCTTTGCACGAAAAAAATTTTCAAGCTTACATAACCTTCACAAAGAATGGATCCCATACACGTAATGTACGTATGGCAACACAATTATTGCAAGAATCACATTTAGCAAGAATGGGTTAATTTCTTGAACGTTTTGTAACGGTTGGCCACCACATCCCCCAACCCCATAATCTGTGGGATCTCTGATTACGGGGTTATTTGAAAAGCCAAGTTTACCAAGGAAATGTTCAATCACTTGCCAAACAGAAGGAAAGGTAACACAGGATGTTTTAGCCATTCCCCAAGCAACCGTGTACCCTGCCACATTACATTTCTGGCACATTTTGCACACTAACGGTTCACATATCGGAATCTTGATGTTTAAAATAAAGGTCACTGGTTCAACTTGGTATTTTCTTTATTTTACTGCACCAATGTTACCTGGTCACATAAAAAATAACTTTTTTATTCACAAATTCTCCTCCCAGATTCTTATTAAGATAACCATCAATTTTCACTGCCACTCATTGTTCCGAGTACTGTCGGTTTAATTATAAACCATCCCGTACATTAGCATATGTACACCCCGTTGACCGCAAGGTGGCAGCCCATCACTTTGGGGACCGGGACAGAACCCGGAGGGCCGAAAAATCCCGGAATTTTTTTGGGGATGGTCCATCCGGATACTCGGGGCCTCGTTCCTTACAGGGCTTCAAGATTCCACCGTCGGCCCGACCAAACTCAGATAGTTTCACTGAAAAGGCCTTTGTGCCAGCAGGACAGAAACGGCCGATTGCAGAGACAGAGTTTACATTAAACGACGTTTATCAACGAACGGTCTATAGCCGTTGGCTGGCTGGACCGCAGTTTAAAATGCGTTGCAAAGACGACGATCGTCTATTTCTGACCGTTCTCTAAACGAACTTCGGCAAAACATTGGCTCTTACTTCGCTATTACTCCCCTGTCTTAGGAGTCGTTCGGCCAATCGGGTTATTTCTTTGTGACGTCAGAAATGGTCGTCAGCTATATTCCGAAAGCTTATTCAGAAATAAAATCTTAAGGCCGTCAAAATCATTGTTCGGCAATTAATGACAATCCTTTTCCATTTCGATATTTAATTTCGTCGCCAATACGATTTAAAATATGAACAAATCCNTAATAGTACATATTAATTAACTAATTAATAATTATATATTTTGGACCTAAGGTTTTTAAGGTTTATAAAAAATTTTTTTTGGTTAAAATCTTTTTATAAAATCATGCCAGAATATTACGTAAGATAGGGAAGGGGAGGGGGGATCAAAGAAAATATTACTTTTTCTTACATAGGGGTGGGTGGGGGTCTAGAATGGCCAAAATCGCCCTTACGTAATTTATGGACGACCCCTTACATGTACAACACCCTTTAAATACAGTTATACCTTTGTTATATTGTTTTAGTTTTAATGTATATTTTCTATTTGGTTATTTTGATGTAAGTATTCAATGTGTGTCAAAAGCTTGCAGACTGATGTGTTTTGTTCATGACAACATTTATAGAAAATGCTAGCATGAAGAGCTGGCATTTCTATAAATGTTGTCTTTTAAAATATATTGATACTTCCTGTAGTTTTTTTTTTTTTTTGTAATTATGGCCTGGTCTTGTATGGCAATCATGAACTCTTCTGTGTTTCCAAAGAGAAATCCATGAAGCAGTATGATGCAATTTTGTCGACATGAACTTAGCTGAGAATTTTAAGACGTCTACTGTGGACTCCTATATCCAGAACTACTTTATTGTGCTTGTGTCTCTTTTGTATTGTGTTAGATTCAGGTCAGTGTTGTGTGTAGGTCACAGTGTGTTATCTCTGTCTAGAAAAGTTACAGCTTTGTGTTGATGTTTCTTGTTTTCTGTAGAAAACCTCTTGCAGTGTTTGTATTTGTTCATATTGAAGATTTAAGATATTGGGTTTCGTCCTCCCTCTTTTTAGAGGTTTACTGGTGTGATTATGTTTTATTAATATTGTTTCTGTTTTCCTTTGGAATGGTTTTAGTTTTGTGTATCCTATGTATAACTCTATGAATATGTAGTACTGGAACAGTGTGTATGTTTTGCATTCAGCTGTGGTGTTAGTATTAACCTTTCAACAGTGGACTAGTCAGGTATGGTTCTACCCGTAGTAATGGAGAATAAACATGGGAAATTTTTAAAGCATTTTTTTTTGCGTTTTTTCTCATTGCCGTTTCAGAAAAAGATTTTGTAAACAGTTATGTCTAGTAAAGAAAAGTCTTTTTTTATTGTTACATAATTCATTTTTTTAGGTGAATTTTTTTTTTGCGGTAGTTTTTGGCAATACCCGTAAAAGAATTTAACAGATATATCCGTCCTTCACCACTGCCATACGATCGCCCTGGATGGATATATCCGTCTTTCACTGCTGAGTGGCTAAGTTTAATCTGCTCTGTATATTTTTGTTAGTCTTTATTTGGCATTTATGCATGCTCTTATGAGTTTGGCCTGTTGAAATCCTAATATATGTGGAGTTTTCCTTCTTCCATGGATTCAATGACATTTCTAATTCTGAGTACAAATCACCTTTCTTCAAGATTTTTGTGAGGTGTTTTGCATTAAATTATTATTGTAAAAAATCTCGCATATGGGAATCAAACTGAAAAACTGAAGCTCTTCATGCAGCATTTTAATAATGCCACTGTACAAATTTGTGGATTGTTCTTCCCATGAACGATTGATGATTCTAGAAAACTTATTTTAACTATTTCAAGAATATCTCAATAGTGGGTTCTGGGTTTTGGTAGAGTATAAGTACAAGTAAATAGAGCACATCCACAAAATTCCATCAAAATCAGCAATTACAAACTGTTGTAAGATGTAGTGTTGTTCTCCAATGTTGTACAATGTTTCCTACAAGTGTTACACGTTTTGGATGTATTTTGTATAGATATAATGTATACAATAATCAGGAGTGTGGGATGCTGTCAAATGCTTTTCTGTAATCTACATAAGATATGTGTACATTTGTGTGCACTTGATATAGAATAATTGAATCTATGAGTAACTGTTCTCTGCATTTCATACGGTTTCTATGACAGTTTTTTATTGTTCTATGAGAATGTTGTGTTTGTTCTGTATGATGATATATTTTTATAATTTCAATTCAAAAGTGTGAAGTCAACTTAGTTTCTTCTGTATTTTTAACTCTATAAAAATATTGTTTGCCATTTTAGTTGAAATTATACATATATATTTTATAATTATTGGCTTATTGGCAGTAGACTTAGTTGGCAGTATTGTTTTACATAATTTTGCAGAGGTGTAACCTCTAATAAAAAGTTGCCTCTGTAAAGGAAGACTTTTGTTTCTGGTAATTGGATACAACAAAAGTGTGAAGACAACTTAGTTTCTTCTAAAATATATCTTCTATTTTTCAATTGCGTATGATATATTTCATTTGTGATACATAAAATACATATTATTTAGCGTATAGGATGGTACATGATTGGTCTGTTGTGTAGGGTCAATGATGTCATTTTATATATATGATGCCCTGTTTAAGAAATTTTGGCATATCTTGTGAGATGATGGTGTATGTAAAATGTTCTGGTGAAGAAATGTGAATGTCTTTGTATTGGAAATTATGAATGTTGTCTGCACTACATGTAAAACTGTACATCTTTGTACTGCATTTTGAGTGTCATATATATTTGTTTCGACACAGAGCATGATTGACATATTGTGCCTGCTTTATTTTTCTTGTTTGATTTAGCTTTCTTCATTTTTTTTTGTGTGATTGAATTGGATCATGGAGCAGACTAATACTCTGTGGTAATTACATATTTATTTTAATTCAGAAATTGTTTTTATTGCTTTATATACACGTTTTTTGCATTGATACATTTTCAAATTTAAACATAACCAATAACCAATATAGAAAAAATATACCATAATTTCCTGCTTGTAACCCTCAAAAATTGATAGAATACAGCCTGCACTTGTTTTCAAACTGACTTTACAACATAAATAACCCATTGGTTTTATGCAGGAAATTACGGTAATTACTTTTTAAAAACATTAAACGAAATCCTTACTTATTATAAGCTTTTTCTGTTTGATTGTAGTATTGCATTCAAATATGATGTTTAATTATAACTATAAACTTTACTTTTCTTTTACTTTTTATTTTTTTATTAATTATAGGTAGATTTAGAATCCAAATTAGGAAAAACTACCGTGATTACAAAAACTACGCCAGCATCTCAAGCTGGAGGGCAAGTATTCTTTATATTTTGTTTAATTTATTAATTAATACCCTTTAAAGTGATAATTATTAGAGAAATAAAATTTTTGAAACGAATTAAATTCCGAAACTTTATTTAGTTAGTGAAGAAAAACAAATAATGGTTGATGTTTAAATTTAGATATAACATGTATACATTCAAAACTTCAACTTAGACCATTTCTGTATTTGTTACCTCAGAAATTGGCTTTAAATTGAGTGCAGTGCTAAATGAAGGATCGACAAACAATGAAGCTTACCACACACTACAAGCATTTAAATGAAGTCCCCAATACTAATTTGGATCCGATCCAGTCTGAATTAAAATGTGGTATTCCCATTTAAATGTCTTATTAAAAAGTTCCACTGATCTATTCTGATATAACATATGCCATGCCTAAGAATTATATTTATAGTAACTGAATGTGAGTTTGTAGTCACACAATACAATAATTATGATGACATTTGCAAAGTAAACTCATAGTAATTCACAGATACCGTAGGGTTACTATTTAAAATTACAGGGACAATCTATTCACAATTGTTCATTGGTACTTGATGTACAGTATAAGGTTTGACTGCACTTAGTTATGAAGGAACAGGCATAAGCCAATCCATTAGTTAATAGAAAGAGAAAAAGATATTATAAACTTAAAAGATACATACAGTGATCGAATTGAATTCATTTTTTAAAAACTTAAGTGTAAAAATATTTTTTAAATTAATTATTTATTTATTTATTATAAAAATTAATCAAATTTTAATTTTTAGGTACTATTGTAATGTGTGTGATTGTGTAGTGAAAGATTCTATCAATTTTTTGGACCATATTAATGGAAAGAAACGTAAGTGTTTGTTCATAAATATGATTTAATGCTTATTTAACTTGTGTGCTTAGCACTTTTGGAAATGACATGAACAGTACATACATAGATAACAATTTTTTATAGAAATCCAAGTTCATTTACTGTAATAGATAAACTAAACTGAATTGATACTTTTTTACATTTTCAGTTATTAAGCAAAAAACTTCTACGATAATTAAAAATAATTGTTTATTAATACAGACATAAAACTTTTTTTAATTGATAAAAGAAACAAACTTACAAGTTTAACATTTTTCCTGTTTTAAAGAAGCCTTGATTGAACATTGATTTGTAATATTAAGCACTCAAAATAAAAACAAATATTGATGCTACAAAACAAGAAAATGAAATTATCGTGATGCACTTACGTTTTCGTCATTTAAATAAAATGAACTAATAGATCCTTTGTCATATTTTAAATTTATTAGTAGATCTGTAGTTCAATCAAAGTATTAATGTTTGATTTTATGTGTTTGCTACTAATCTGAATGTTCATTGTAATTGCTGAAATATGTTTACTACTCTAAAGGACCCAGTTCAAATCTGGGTTAGATACTTGAGAATTTTTCATGAGTAATCATATCCAGATATCTTAATATCCTTTCTCACTGCTCAGTTTGCTAAAACAAGTTTAGCTGAACTCACAATAGAAGACCTTAATGTTCAGAAGATAGAAAGAATATTGAAAGTAATAGTAAAAGAATATTTTCAAAGGATGCCAAAGTAATTAGGTTGAATTAAGTGCATTTATACATTTAACTAAATAGTCTGACATGTAGTGTACAGTACAATCCACTTCAAATACAATATGAGAAATTCTGAAAAGTTTGTAACTTTTCTTAGAAGAAAAGAGATATTTGATAAACAATATATTTCATTCAACATAATTACCCCTCAACTCTATTTACTTATTACAACATTTCTTCAATTTTTTTAACCCCTGTAAAAAGAACTTAGCCTAGTCTTCAAATCAGCTCTCTGTAGCTCCAATGATCTCTTGATTGGAAGCAAAGTTTTTCTCAATCAGTGTTTTTTAAAACTGAGAAGACATGATAATTTGAGGGGGGTAAGATCCAGTGAATAGACTGTATGGTCCAACAATTCAAACCCTCAAATCTTGATTTTTTGCATGATTTGAAGGCTGGGCAGATGCATTGTCTTGTAGAAAAAGCATGCCTTGACTAAGTCTTCCATGCTGTTTTTTTCTTTAAAACCTCTTACAATTCATCCTGTGTGGACATGTAATAAGTGGTGTTGATTCCCTGATCTTTTGACAAGTACTTTACTAGAATGGTACTGTTCTCATCCCAGAACAGAAAAGCCATGATTTTTCTAGCTGATTTCTGGACACAAAACTTCTTTAGCCAGGAGTTCCTCTATGATACCATTCCTTTTATTGCTCCTTCATCTCACCATCATTGTGATGAAACCACATTTCATCTGTAGTCACAAATTTGGCCACAAAATCCTCAGCACTAATATAGCTAATAATAACTGTGTCAAAATGGCTTTGGAAGCAATCATACAATTCCACTTCTGGTCTGCATTGAAAAGTTTTGGAATCTATCTTGCAGAGAGCTTTTGCATGTCGCAATTATCACAGATTATACTGGAAACCCTTTTGCAGGAAATCTGCAAAATTTCGGCAATCATCTTGACCAAAATGCAATGATCTTTAAGGATCAGATCATGGCTTTCATTCATATTTCGTCCGTTTTGTTGAAATGGGCCTCCAATGTGTGGCTCATTTGTTTCCTTAAATGACCATTTTAGAAATGTGTCGCCCATTTCTTCACCATTACGAGAGAAAGGTAATCTGTCTTAGAATTGCCAGCATCTCAGAATCTTCTGCACTCCTTTCCCCTGTAGGAATAAGAATTTCATGATCACACACTTCAATATTGCTAAATTCTGGTCTTGGTCCAGCCATCATGAGTTCAAGTTGTCAAAATAAGCATACTAATAGTTGTAACAGATGGTACATGGACTCTAGGAATCTTCTCTGTTATTCTCATAGTACAGCTTTTGCTGTTTTCAGCATCTCCTTGTATATATGTGTGTATATACAGGGTGTTTATAAATGAATGGTACAGTTTTAAAAATTAATAAATATATTTATTACCTTATATGGGCAAACCTTACAGCATAAGCAGTGACAACTGTCCAAGTTTTTTATGCATTAATCACAATCCTTCAATATGTGCACCCATGGTTACACAACACATCTACATGGTAATTAAATTCTTCCCATACACGGTGTAGCATGTCCTCCGTGATGGTCTGCAGTGCATGCTTTATCCGATCACACAGTTCCTTAAGGGACATGGGCATTGACGGTACATAAACTCGGTCAATACCCGAGATTAAGGTAATAAATATATTTATTATTAATTTTTAAAACTGCACCATTCATTTATAAACACCCTGTATATACAGTCGACCCCCCTATAATGCAGTAGATACGTTCCACTTTTTATGAAATTCATGTTCTACAAGTCCTTAAATACATGAGCCAATCACAGCCCAGCACGTATGCACTTTATGGACTACGGTTGTTTGAAAGGTTTTCTTCCATAAAATTAATCAATTCTAGACTAATTTGACTCAACATTTCCAAAGCACATATAATTTCTTGGGAATAATCCATATAAACTATGCTATAAACAAAAAATTTTAGGATTACTTACCGAGTGTGCACCATTCAACGATGCCATTGGTTAAGCTTGTTTTCGTCATGGAGCGGCACGTCAATCGGGGCGCGCGTGTTTCCTGATAAATTATTTTTCTGCAAAAAATTTGCTGAACTTTGGAGACATCATTAATATAAATATAATTTTTATGGACATTAAATAATAAATGGTTTTTAGTAGGTCCACTGCTCATTTAAATTCAACGATTTGTGCAATATCCGCTATTGGTCTAGATTCGACCAATCCCATCATGACACAAGTCGGCGATCACGTTTTACCGCGTTATACGTGTCTCTTTTACTGTCTTTATACGAATATGGTCACAATTTTTTTGCCGTGATATACGAATCCGCATTATATGAACTGTATATATATTTCCATACATGCTCCACTATATTTTTTATCATTTTTTAAAGGAAAAACATAAATCTATTTCTACAGTAATAGAGCACTGTTTGGATATGTAATAAAATTTATTGGCTATTCGAAGTGCATTGAATAAGTAATTAGTACATTCTCTTAGAAATTTGAATAAGTTCCAAAAATTATACAGTTAATATAAATGCAGTTATAAAGTTAAAATAATATACAGGAGTTTAATAATCACTTCCCACTTGGCTTTTGCTGTAGGAACTAGATTAGATCCAATGTGAGATCAAGATCCTGTGTATATCTTAGGATGTTTATTAAAAATTTATGGAAATTTTTCTTTATAATGTGTTATTTCTAATCTTGTATTGATGTTTTGACATGTTTTCAGGATCACAAATCCTGATAACGATTTCAAATATATTATGTTACAGAACATGAACATGCTTGTTTTTAACTTTTATTATTTTTATTTTCACAAATTCACATTAGTGAATTTGTTCTTATGGAGTTTCTTTCTCAATTACACAAATAATGATACTTTTAATGTTATTTAATAATCAATAAACAAAAAAATTGTAAATAGAATAATGCATTTGTGGTTTTTCTGATTTGTAACTTATTTAGCGTCAAAAAAAGTATTAGAAATACAATAATTTATTAAAAATAAACAGAAATTTTTTGATGTAATGCTTTATATTTATAACTTTATTTTTATGTTTAAAATATTTCAAATTATTTGGTGTTAGATTGTACAGATGAATGTTCTGTTTTAATCTTTGTATAAATAGTACGTAATTGATTGAAAATATGAAAATTTATATATATTTTTTTATTTTCAAAATAAATTTTAGATCAAAGAAATTTGGGAATGTCCATGAGAGTCGAAAGATCCTCATTGGATCAAGTTAAAAAGAGATTCGAAATGAACAGGAAAAAGTTAGACGAGAAGAAAAAAGAATACGACTTTGAACAACGAATGCAAGAATTAAGAGACGAGGTACCGATAAAAAAATTTTATGGTAGAAATATTAATAATTTAGGAATTTTATAGAATAATATGAATTATACTTCAGAATTCTCAATTTGACAATTTCTGTATTTGTTGACATCCATTGCCTAAGTTTCAATGATAATCACACAATTAATTTGGATTAATTCATAATTAATAAATATTTTAGACCAGCATTTCACAACCTAGATGTGCATACTCTTGAGGGCGCGCACAATTCTCCCAGGAGTATCAATTTACGTCGAGGCAAATCAAAATTTTATAGACTCCAAGTCTTTAAAAGCTACTAACATTAAATTTTTTTTAACAGACTACAATATTTTGTACACTTCTGAAAGTTTGGTTAATTTAATTCAATCTTGTCTGTCGACTAACTTTACAGCCATATTATGAAAATAAATGGCATAATACTTTAAACTGAAAATTAAGAATTAAAAATCGAAAAACAGTTTTTTAGGAAGTGAATATTTATCATTGGAAGATAAAATATTTCTCACGAGCCAGTCACATCGCAGCGACCGTGCTTCGAGGTTCCAGGTACAAATTGGTGAATGCAGCTCGTTACACGGACTACTCTCTTCCACAGGATTATCCCAGCTTTGCACGAAAAAAATTTTCAAGCTTACATAACCTTCACAAAGAATGGATCCCATACACGTAATGTACGTATGGCAACACAATTATTGCAAGAATCACATTTAGCAAGAATGGGTTAATTTCTTGAACGTTTTGTAACGGTTGGCCACCACATCCCCCAACCCCATAATCTGTGGGATCTCTGATTACGGGGTTATTTGAAAAGCCAAGTTTACCAAGGAAATGTTCAATCACTTGCCAAACAGAAGGAAAGGTAACACAGGATGTTTTAGCCATTCCCCAAGCAACCGTGTACCCTGCCACATTACATTTCTGGCACATTTTGCACACTAACGGTTCACATATCGGAATCTTGATGTTTAAAATAAAGGTCACTGGTTCAACTTGGTATTTTCTTTATTTTACTGCACCAATGTTACCTGGTCACATAAAAAATAACTTTTTTATTCACAAATTCTCCTCCCAGATTCTTATTAAGATAACCATCAATTTTCACTGCCACTCATTGTTCCGAGTACTGTCGGTTTAATTATAAACCATCCCGTACATTAGCATATGTACACCCCGTTGACCGCAAGGTGGCAGCCCATCACTTTGGGGACCGGGACAGAACCCGGAGGGCCGAAAAATCCCGGAATTTTTTTGGGGATGGTCCATCCGGATACTCGGGGCCTCGTTCCTTACAGGGCTTCAAGATTCCACCGTCGGCCCGACCAAACTCAGATAGTTTCACTGAAAAGGCCTTTGTGCCAGCAGGACAGAAACGGCCGATTGCAGAGACAGAGTTTACATTAAACGACGTTTATCAACGAACGGTCTATAGCCGTTGGCTGGCTGGACCGCAGTTTAAAATGCGTTGCAAAGACGACGATCGTCTATTTCTGACCATTCTCTAAACGAACTTCGGCAAAACATTGGCTCTTACTTCGCTATTACTCCCCTGTCTTAGGAGTCGTTCGGCCAATCGGGTTATTTCTTTGTGACGTCAGAAATGGTCGTCAGCTATATTCCGAAAGCTTAAGGCCGTCAAAATCATTGTTCGGCAATTAATGACAATCCTTTTCTATTTCGTTATTTAATTTCGTTGCCAATACGATTTAAAATATGAACAAATCCATATTTAGAAAATTTATACCGAATTCGAAATTCGTCTTCGGAATAGATTTTTAAGGAATTATTTCGACATCTTATTACTGTCGAAATGAATAATTTTAAATATTTTATTATTAATATTACATTTTTTTATCTATAAACAGATTTCTGTAATTATTAAAATTGTCTCGTTTGTTTAACAGTACAACGACCCCGAAATGCATTAACGTTTTATAACCGACACGATACTCAAATTGTAAATAAATGCATCTGATTTAATTGTAGTTTTAAGTCTTCACCCATTTGAATATCGAAATTGGAACATTTAAAACAAATTTAAAGTATTTCATTTTGTTGTTTTTGTTCCGAGCAGTTAATTAATTAATGAGTAATTTTGTCGATTCGTACCGTTTACAACATTTATCAAAGAAACGATGTCTGTTTTTATCTAAACTTTTCCACAAACAAAGCTACCACTCGAATTGAAAAGCCCTCTAAACCTGCTGTCGAGTGAGTCTAGAAAATAGGTCAAATAACTTGTTTCTAATCGCTGTCTACATTGTGGCAGGCGAGAAACGCCGTCTCTGCAATGAAATTTTTCTGAACAGCGGTCTACCCGATCTGTAAACCGCCGTCGGCCTCTAAACTTTGTCTCTGCAATCGGCCCAAAAAGTTTAAAAAATGCCATATTACCGTAAGCGTACGATATTTTCCCATACAATAAACATAAAGATTTAATTTTAAATAATTTGTTTCGTTCAGGAAGAGAAATTGAAAGAATACCGAAGGGAGAAAAGAAAAGAGAGGAAGAGAAAATCGCACGACTCCAGAGATGAGGAGATCGATCCAGAAATGGCCGCCATCATGGGATTTTCGGAATTCGGGTCATCAAAAAAATAGTAAAACATTTTATAAATAAATAAATAAAATTATTTAAACTTTTTTATTGTCGTGCATATACATATACACACGAAAGCACATCTTTACCTGTAACTATAGAACAATTGTAATTTTTGCTTTTGTAAATGTTTTTTAATGAAGTAAATATAACTTTTTTTTTTAATTTAGTTTTTTAAAATACCAATTTTTATCCACTACACTGATATAAGTAAACAGTTTAATCCAGTTAAGGTAGAATGTGGTTTCAAAATGTATTACTACTGTATATTCATCAGTCTAGTAGGGCGTCCCATTAACCAGGTTTTAAATATTCGGCCGTCGAGACAACAAGGGTCAAATTCACATCAAAATAATTTGATTGGATATGGCAACACGGTGCCAAGGGAGAATTCTTTCCCCTCGTCCTTCGAAGACATTCCGCCTACACAGAACTTCTGTGGGAAACTGGCCCCTATTTAGGTGTTAGAATACGAAGAAAAGCCTGAAAACTGGTCAATCCGTCGGCAGGGTGTAAACCCGCCAATGGAACGGGCACATTTTCTAGATAATACCGATGGGTTCCGTGCCGTTATTCACTCCACCGTTTCTCATGGACAAAGGTCGCTATGAATTACATAACACTATTTTTATTCCTCTCTGCTATCATCCCATTTCCCAAAATTACGTAACGCGTATCCTCGAGTGATCCCTTAAACCAGTGGTTCCCAACCTTTTTTCATTAGCGTACCCCGTGACATGTCATATCTCTNAGGACCCAGTTCAAATCTGGGTTAGATACTTGAGAATTTTTCATGAGTAATCATATCCAGATATCTTAATATCCTTTCTCACTGCTCAGTTTGCTAAAACAAGTTTAGCTGAACTCACAATAGAAGACCTTAATGTTCAGAAGATAGAAAGAATATTGAAAGTAATAGTAAAAGAATATTTTCAAAGGATGCCAAAGTAATTAGGTTGAATTAAGTGCATTTATACATTTAACTAAATAGTCTGACATGTAGTGTACAGTACAATCCACTTCAAATACAATATGAGAAATTCTGAAAAGTTTGTAACTTTTCTTAGAAGAAAAGAGATATTTGATAAACAATATATTTCATTCAACATAATTACCCCTCAACTCTATTTACTTATTACAACATTTCTTCAATTTTTTTAACCCCTGTAAAAAGAACTTAGCCTAGTCTTCAAATCAGCTCTCTGTAGCTCCAATGATCTCTTGATTGGAAGCAAAGTTTTTCTCGTTCAGTGTTTTTTAAAACTGAGAAGACATGATAATTTGAGGGGGGTAAGATCCAGTGAATAGACTGTATGGTCCAACAATTCAAACCCTCAAATCTTGATTTTTTGCATGATTTGAAGGCTGGGCAGATGCATTGTCTTGTAGAAAAAGCATGCCTTGACTAAGTCTTCCATGCTGTTTTTTTCTTTAAAACCTCTTACAATTCATCCTGTGTGGACATGTAATAAGTGGTGTTGATTCCCTGATCTTTTGACAAGTACTTTACTAGAATGGTACTGTTCTCATCCCAGAACAGAAAAGCCATGATTTTTCTAGCTGATTTCTGGACACAAAACTTCTTTAGCCAGGAGTTCCTCTATGATACCATTCCTTTTATTGCTCCTTCATCTCACCATCATTGTGATGAAACCACATTTCATCTGTAGTCACAAATTTGGCCACAAAATCCTCAGCACTAGTATAGAACTGTGTCAAAATGGCTTTGGAAGCAATCATGTAATTCCACTTCTGGTCTGCATTGAAAAGTTTTGGAATCTGTCTTGCAGAGAGCTTTTGCATGTCACGATTATCACAGATTATACTGGAAACCCTTTTGCAGGAAATCTGCAAAATTTCGGCAATCATCTTGACCAAAATGCAATGATCTTTAATTATCAGATCATGGCTTTTATTCATATTTCGTCCGTTTTGTTGAAATGGGCCTCCAATGTGTGGCTCATTTGTTTCCTTAAATGACCATTTTGGAAATGTGTCGCCCATTTCTTCATCGTTACAAGAGAAAGGTAATCTGTCTTAGAATTGCCAGCATCTCAGAATCTCCTGCACTCCTTTCCCCTGTAGGAATAAGAATTTCATGATCACACACTTCAATATTGCTAAATTCTGGTCTTGGTTCAGCCATCATGAGTTCAAGTTGTCAAAATAAGCATACTAATAGTTGTAACAGACGGTGCATGGACTCTAGGAATCTTCTCTGTTATTCTCATAGTACAGCTTTTGCTGTTTTCAGCATCTCCTTGTATATATGTGTGTATATACAGGGTGTTTATAAATGAATGGTACAGTTTTAAAAATTAATAAATATATTTATTACCTTATATGGGCAAACCTTACAGCATAAGCAGTGACAACTGTCCAAGTTTTTTATGCATTAATCACAATCCTTCAATATGTGCACCCATGGTTACACAACACATCTACATGGTAATTAAATTCTTCCCATACACGGTGTAGCATGTCCTCCGTGATGGTCTGCAGTGCATGCTTTATCCGATCACACAGTTCCTTAAGGGACATGGGCATTGACGGTACATAAACTCGGTCAATACCCGAGATTAAGGTAATAAATATATTTATTATTAATTTTTAAAACTGCACCATTCATTTATAAACACCCTGTATATACAGTCGACCCCCCTATAATGCAGTAGATACGTTCCACTTTTTATGAAATTCATGTTCTACAAGTCCTTAAATACATGAGCCAATCACAGCCCAGCACGTATGCACTTTATGGACTACGGTTGTTTGAAAGGTTTTCTTCCATAAAATTAATCAATTCTAGACTAATTTGACTCAACATTTCCAAAGCACATATAATTTCTTGGGAATAATCCATATAAACTATGCTATAAACAAAAAATTTTAGGATTACTTACCGAGTGTGCACCATTCAACGATGCCATTGGTTAAGCTTGTTTTCGTCATGGAGCGGCACGTCAATCGGGGCGCGCGTGTTTCCTGATAAATTATTTTTCTGCAAAAAATTTGCTGAACTTTGGAGACATCATTAATATAAATATAATTTTTATGGACATTAAATAATAAATGGTTTTTAGTAGGTCCACTGCTCATTTAAATTCAACGATTTGTGCAATATCCGCTATTGGTCTAGATTCGACCAATCCCATCATGACACAAGTCGGCGATCACGTTTTACCGCGTTATACGTGTCTCTTTTACTGTCTTTATACGAATATGGTCACAATTTTTTTGCCGTGATATACGAATCCGCATTATATGAACTGTATATATATTTCCATACATGCTCCACTATATTTTTTATCATTTTTTAAAGGAAAAACATAAATCTATTTCTACAGTAATAGAGCACTGTTTGGATATGTAATAAAATTTATTGGCTATTCGAAGTGCATTGAATAAGTAATTAGTACATTCTCTTAGAAATTTGAATAAGTTCCAAAAATTATACAGTTAATATAAATGCAGTTATAAAGTTAAAATAATATACAGGAGTTTAATAATCACTTCCCACTTGGCTTTTGCTGTAGGAACTAGATTAGATCCAATGTGAGATCAAGATCCTGTGTATATCTTAGGATGTTTATTAAAAATTTATGGAAATTTTTCTTTATAATGTGTTATTTCTAATCTTGTATTGATGTTTTGACATGTTTTCAGGATCACAAATCCTGATAACGATTTCAAATATATTATGTTACAGAACATGAACATGCTTGTTTTTAACTTTTATTATTTTTATTTTCACAAATTCACATTAGTGAATTTGTTCTTATGGAGTTTCTTTCTCAATTACACAAATAATGATACTTTTAATGTTATTTAATAATCAATAAACAAAAAAATTGTAAATAGAATAATGCATTTGTGGTTTTTCTGATTTGTAACTTATTTAGCGTCAAAAAAAGTATTAGAAATACAATAATTTATTAAAAATAAACAGAAATTTTTTGATGTAATGCTTTATATTTATAACTTTATTTTTATGTTTAAAATATTTCAAATTATTTGGTGTTAGATTGTACAGATGAATGTTCTGTTTTAATCTTTGTATAAATAGTACGTAATTGATTGAAAATATGAAAATTTATATATATTTTTTTATTTTCAAAATAAATTTTAGATCAAAGAAATTTGGGAATGTCCATGAGAGTCGAAAGATCCTCATTGGATCAAGTTAAAAAGAGATTCGAAATGAACAGGAAAAAGTTAGACGAGAAGAAAAAAGAATACGACTTTGAACAACGAATGCAAGAATTAAGAGACGAGGTACCGATAAAAAAATTTTATGGTAGAAATATTAATAATTTAGGAATTTTATAGAATAATATGAATTATACTTCAGAATTCTCAATTTGACAATTTCTGTATTTGTTGACATCCATTGCCTAAGTTTCAATGATAATCACACAATTAATTTGGATTAATTCATAATTAATAAATATTTTAGACCAGCATTTCACAACCTAGATGTGCATACTCTTGAGGGCGCGCACAATTCTCCCAGGAGTATCAATTTACGTCGAGGCAAATCAAAATTTTATAGACTCCAAGTCTTTAAAAGCTACTAACATTAAATTTTTTTTAACAGACTACAATATTTTGTACACTTCTGAAAGTTTGGTTAATTTAATTCAATCTTGTCTGTCGACTAACTTTACAGCCATATTATGAAAATAAATGGCATAATACTTTAAACTGAAAATTAAGAATTAAAAATCGAAAAACAGTTTTTTAGGAAGTGAATATTTATCATTGGAAGATAAAATATTTCTCACGAGCCAGTCACATCGCAGCGACCGTGCTTCGAGGTTCCAGGTACAAATTGGTGAATGCAGCTCGTTACACGGACTACTCTCTTCCACAGGATTATCCCAGCTTTGCACGAAAAAAATTTTCAAGCTTACATAACCTTCACAAAGAATGGATCCCATACACGTAATGTACGTATGGCAACACAATTATTGCAAGAATCACATTTAGCAAGAATGGGTTAATTTCTTGAACGTTTTGTAACGGTTGGCCACCACATCCCCCAACCCCATAATCTGTGGGATCTCTGATTACGGGGTTATTTGAAAAGCCAAGTTTACCAAGGAAATGTTCAATCACTTGCCAAACAGAAGGAAAGGTAACACAGGATGTTTTAGCCATTCCCCAAGCAACCGTGTACCCTGCCACATTACATTTCTGGCACATTTTGCACACTAACGGTTCACATATCGGAATCTTGATGTTTAAAATAAAGGTCACTGGTTCAACTTGGTATTTTCTTTATTTTACTGCACCAATGTTACCTGGTCACATAAAAAATAACTTTTTTATTCACAAATTCTCCTCCCAGATTCTTATTAAGATAACCATCAATTTTCACTGCCACTCATTGTTCCGAGTACTGTCGGTTTAATTATAAACCATCCCGTACATTAGCATATGTACACCCCGTTGACCGCAAGGTGGCAGCCCATCACTTTGGGGACCGGGACAGAACCCGGAGGGCCGAAAAATCCCGGAATTTTTTTGGGGATGGTCCATCCGGATACTCGGGGCCTCGTTCCTTACAGGGCTTCAAGATTCCACCGTCGGCCCGACCAAACTCAGATAGTTTCACTGAAAAGGCCTTTGTGCCAGCAGGACAGAAACGGCCGATTGCAGAGACAGAGTTTACATTAAACGACGTTTATCAACGAACGGTCTATAGCCGTTGGCTGGCTGGACCGCAGTTTAAAATGCGTTGCAAAGACGACGATCGTCTATTTCTGACCATTCTCTAAACGAACTTCGGCAAAACATTGGCTCTTACTTCGCTATTACTCCCCTGTCTTAGGAGTCGTTCGGCCAATCGGGTTATTTCTTTGTGACGTCAGAAATGGTCGTCAGCTATATTCCGAAAGCTTATTCAGAAATAAAATCTTAAGGCCGTCAAAATCATTGTTCGGCAATTAATGACAATCCTTTTCCATTTCGATATTTAATTTCGTCGCCAATACGATTTAAAATATGAACAAATCCATATTTAGAAAATTTATACCGAATTCGAAATTCGTCTTCGGAATAGATTTTTAAGGAATTATTTCGACATCTTATTACTGTCGAAATGAATAATTTTAAATATTTTATTATTAATATTGCATTTTTTTATCTATAAACAGATTTCTGTAATTATTAAAATTGTCTCGTTTGTTTAACAGTACAATGACTCCGAAATGCATTAACGTTTTATAACCGACACGATACTCGAATTGTAAATAAATGCATCTGATTTAAATTAAATTGAAGTTTTAAGTCTTCACCCATTTGAATGTCGAAATTGGAACATTTAAAACAAATTTAAAGTATTTAATTTTGTTGTTTTTGCGCCGAG